CCCACCGGGAATCATCAATAGGTTGGATAGCATCAGGAGAAATTTTTTATGGCAAGGGAACAAGGAAAGGAGAGGATATCACTTAGTCAAAATGGAAAACTGTGATCACTGAAAAGAAAGTTGGGGGTCTGGGGATCAAGAACATGAAGAACCAGATGAAAGGTTTGAGGATGAAGTGGCTTTAGAAGTACTCAAATGATAATCAGAATTTGTGGGGCTCAGTCATAAAGGCAAAATATGAAGAGAGTGTGATAGTTGGATGACAAAGGAGGTTACCACCCCTTATGGTGTTAGCTTATGGAAATCCATTAGAGAACTTTGGAATGAATTCAAACCTAACACCAAGATCAAAGTGGTAGATGGCATAAAAACTAGGTTTTGGAAGGATGATTGGCATGCAGAAGGAAATATGGAGACTGTCTTCCCTGACATCCACAATTTAGTTCTTCAGCAACAAAGTACTATAGCGGACTTATGGACTACTCAAGGGTGGAATTTTGTATTTAGAAGACACCTCAATGACTGGGAAATTCCAAGAGTAACAGAACTTTTTAGAAGCATTGATCAATTTAGTGGTCTGGAAATAGGGCGAGACAGATTGCAGTGGTTGGGACACAGTAAAGGGATTTTTAAAGTAGGTGCAGTGTACAAGAAGTTGAATCATCCAAATCTGCAGCTACTCAAGTGGCCCTGTAAACATATATGGAAAGCCAAGATCCCCTACAAGGTGTCTTGCTTTGTGTGGTTATTGGCTAAAGAAGCAGTATTGACACAGGAGAATTTAATGAAGAGGGGAATTACACTTTGCTCTAGATGTTTTTTCTGTGGGAAAACTGCAAAAACAGTCAATCATTTGTTTATCCAATGCGAAGTCACTGGCCAGTTTTGGAATCTGTTCCTGAGATGTAAAAGCATCTCCTGGTCCATGCCTGGGAGAATTTCAGAGGCTCTATTTAGCTGGGAAGAAGCAGGGACACAAGCAAAAAACAGAAGTAACTGGAGAATTGTCCCTGCCACTATTTGGTGGACAATATAAAAAGAGAGGAACCTTAAGAGTTTTTGAGAATAGGGAGAGTAGTATGCAACAAGTTAAACTGAAATTGCATTTCGACCCTGTGTTTTTGGTGTAATCAAATTTACTCTAATGATACCGTCTCTATCATTGATGTCCTAGACTCATTAATAGGGATAGGGTCGGTATTATTAGAGTTTCCTTATGTAAATACGGGTTTCAGTACAACCTATGTACTGTTCTGCAGAAATAGAAACAATTACCATTTTCAAAAAAAAAAAATAGTACAAAGAGAGCTCTTCTTTATCTATAGCTAGAAGTAAGATCAGACAAAGAAACATAATCAATGATTGTTTAGCAAATTCTGAACACATTTAGATTGTTTCTTTTGAAACAAGTAATAGTTGTATTCAGTAAAAAGCTTAACCACCCAAAAAAAAGTGCTAATTTAGCAACTTTACAAGCAGCAAAAGGGTGCTTAAACCCCTTCCTAAAACCCTATACAATTATACATTGTCAATTAAATCTACTAACTCTCCTACTTCCCTCCAAATATTTTTTTTACACCAAAAAAAGAACAAGCTAAAGACAAGTCATTTTAATTTTCTGGATAGAACTGCTAGTGCCTTCAAAATGTCTACCATTCTTTTCTTTCCACACTGTCCACCAAATGCAAGCATGAATGATCTTCCACCGATCCTCCTCCCCACCTTGTTACTCCACCAGCTGTTCAACAATGCCAAAGTAGAACAAGGTATAGCCCAAGTTATTCCCAACAAACAAAACAAGATGTGCTAAAGATTTACAGTTGTCCTCCTACATTGTAGGAATAAGCATTCATTGCTTTCACCGACCTGTTCATACAAAGGACATCTTGAACAAATCTAAAAACCTTTTTCTTTGTAGCTTAACTTGAGTAAGGCAAGCTTTCCTAATACCAACCAAACATAGACCAGGGATACTTACTCATTCAGTAGACTAATTCAGTAGCTTAACTCATTCAGTAGACTATTCTTCTTATTAATCAACTCCACAAAGTTTGTTCTGCTCCATGAATCATCCCTTTAAAACCATCCACCTCTAACCACCGATTTTCAAATTTGAAGTAAGAACTCTTGTGGTTCCATTTTCCACAATCTAAGGGAACTGTAGAGTGATCAGAATTGGCTCTAGCTAGATTTCTTCGTTTTATAAAGATTTTGCAGAGGACATGTTTTTTCTTTCTACAGAGGCATCTAGTAATCTACTATATCTCTCAAGACAAATACACTACCAACTTCAATCTGTAGCAGTTGAATTCAATGGGAAAAATGAGTTCTTTACTACACTAGTACCAGAGATATCCATGTATAACTTTGAAACCTATCCTCATTGATTCTCCACCAAAACTAATTTACATACTCATCCTTCCTTTTATCAAACACCTGGAAGTTCTATTAGTCTCTGCTGAATTCTTTTTCTTTTTGTGGTAAGTGAGTGTAGTCTCTCAGAAACTAATCCACACATAAAGCAAATGCTGCATTCCAATGGCAACAAGAAAGTCATCATTTTCCCTAACAAAGAACATCAATTCCTTCCTTGAACTTCTCCAAGTCACCCATTCCCCAGGGAACAAAAGGAAAAAGCAAATTTTGAAAAACCAAAACATAAAATTCATAAGTCTCAAAAACCCTAAAGCAATAAAATAGCAAAGAAAGTAAACAAAACAGAGAAAAAACGTAACAGAACAACTGCACATTACAAATGAACTTAAAGCGCAGCAAAAACAAAAGCACAACAGGCATGCAAAAGTGATTTACAACAATCTAGGGTTCAATTTGAGTTCAAATAATAGCTCTAGAAGTAATAAGAAGAGCAGAAAATAACTTCAATGCTTTATACAAGGCTGAAATAAAGATAAAAACGATAAGGAGAAACAGAGAAATCTGTCTCACCAGAAAGGGATAACAGAGCGAAGTAATCAAGTGAACACACAGAGTAGAGTTCAGATATGAAGATTCTAATGTGAATGCTACAATTCGATGAGAAATCCGGCACCGTCGCTTGTCGCCGGCGTTCTTCAGCAGCAAAGAGGGACGACTGAGAAGAGTGTTGTTGGTGACCAGGAAAACAAGAGTACGTTTCGATTGTTTGTTAATATAGGGCGGACTCAACCGGATTGACCCGACCCGTTCGTTATCAACTTTCGCTGAGTTGTTTAGGGGCACTTTTGACTTTATCTAAAAAAAAATTAGTTGAAACAAATATTTATATAATCCTTCTTTTTAATTTGTTCATTTTATGTTCTTTTTGTTAGAAATAGACAAACAAATTCGAATGAAAAAAGTAGTAATTTTTTATTTTATTTATTTTTAAAATTTAGCCAAAATAAACGCTTAGCAAAAGGACTTACATTTTGTACTTGAATTTTTTTATTTAAATGCAGTACAAAAAAAGACATGATATCTTCATCATTATGTAACTTATTTTTTTTATAACTTCGGGGAAAAAAAGAACGATTACATAATTCATTATTTTTAAAAAAAATTCTTTTGAAATGAAACAATGCAATTAGGGGTGTTCACGGTTTGGTTTGGGTCGGTTATTGGTCAAAACCAAAACCAAACCAAACCAAACCAAATATAATATATATTTATCGGTTTGGTTGTTTTCGGTTTTGGTTTGGTTTGGTTCGGTTATTCGGTTATTAACCATACATAAAAATAAAAGAAACAATTCATTCAAAACGTGAAAAAAGTGACAACAATCCATTCAAACAAAAAAATAGTTAGAATGACTGGCATTATAGAACTTTCGATCATTGAATTTACTGAATAAAACTTCAAAATTCACTATTTTGACATAGAAGGAAGAGACAATGTCATTTTCAGTCCCACAAAGAATTTCCATAGACACTCATATACATGAAACCAATAAGAAAAATGTTCTCACCTTGGACATTTTTTCTTTTATAAGTAAATTATAAATAAATTTTGATGAAACATATATAAAATCTTTAAAATTGTTTATGATTATAATATATTATGTATGTATAATAATAAATTTTATGTATATTACTTGTTGGTTCGGTTCGGTTATTTCTTCGATTTTTTTCGAACAAAACCATAACCAAACCAAATACTATCGGTTCTTAACTAATCTAAAACCAAACCAAACCAAAACTCAAATTAAATCGGTTCATTTTAATCGGTTTGGTTTGGTTTTTCGGTTTGGATCGGTTTTTATCCAAACCATGAACACCCCTAAATGCAATAATAATATAACAACAGGAAAAAAGAAAAAGAAAAGAACCATTACTAACTTGTCTTTTTTTAGTTTTTACTTTTGAAGCGAAATAATGCAACAATATAATATTAAGGGATAAGGGTCTGAAAAATACCCCAACTTTGGTCGGATTTGCTGTTGCGATACTAAACTTTCATAAGGACCTATTACCTCCCTAGACTATTTAATACCATATTTTTTATTCCCTCAACTATTTAATAGTGTATTTTAAAGGTATATATGTGTCCACGTGGACACATTACTATTTATAATTTTGCATTATTTTTTATGTCCACGTGGGCAAATATATATGTTTAAAATACGGTATTAAATAGTCTAGGGAGGTAATAGGTCCTCATGAAAGTTTAGTATCGCAACAGCAAATCTGACCAAAGTTGGGATATTTTTCAGACCCTTATCCCTAATAATAACAAGAAAAAAAGAGACTATATATTATAAAATATTGTACTAACTTTTTTAGATTAAGTTTACACGAAAATAATCACAATAACTACCTTTAATTTCAATTGCATTTCATTAACATACTATTTTGATAAATGAAAACAACTATACAATCATATATCAAACAAAATATACATATATGAAAGGAACCTCACTTCCTCTATGCTAAACTTCACAAATATAAATATTTTTTACACAATTATATTATCATCATTAAGATATAATTATAATTAATATTTGTATAAGTAGTAGTAATTTTTTTTTAACCCCACCATTGGTGCACAGCAACACCTTCATCCCTTAACATACCATATAAAGATAAACATTCCCAATATGCCCTTCTACTTTTCTTTTTATCGCCTTTTTTCACACCTTGATGTTTACACTCTAAAAAAAGTTCATCAACTAATTTAATTGCTTTATTCCTTACCATTTCTTCTACTACTTCTGCTTCTGCTTTCATTACTACATATTCATTTTCCTTCACATTTTTCTCTAACCAATCTGACATTCCAATCAATGGTGCTGATGACTCTTTTGCCACTATTTCAATCTTGAATATCTCGAATTTCGTGTTCCTAGTTGGATAATGCTTCGAAAACCAACTAGAATCACTTGATTTTTCGTTTTTGTTTTGTAAACCAACGTCAATGAATACCCTACGTGGGTAGCTTTCTAGACGAATGTTCATCAATTCTGGCAAATAACGTGTCTTTTTGAGATATCTACTCGATTTTCCTGACGCTGCTCTTGGTGGTTCGAGTAGTACGTCTTCTAGCTTTTTTAATGCATCCTCTTTCGCGTTTGGACCAAAATTGAATAATTTTCTATGATGTTGTGTAGTTGTTGATTCAATCGAGGTAAATGAACTTGTCTTTCGCATGGCTAGTATTGTTGAATCGAATTTTCGTATGTAGACAACTTTGTAGTTTGATGGTTGAGAAAATGTAATCATAGGGTTGTCGTTAATTAATTGAACAACGACAATACCACCTACGTTCATAGCTCGATCGATAAAATTGAGAGACTTGGATGAATCATAGGGAATTAGTGCAAAGTCATAAGTCTCATCTTTATGTGCCAAATCTAAAAGAGAAATCAAATCCATGTTGTAATCACTTGTAACTTGAGAATTGTAGATAACTTCTTCATTTCCATTAGTAATAAACAAGGACTTGTCCCTTGTTTTGAGAAGGCCTTCATTAGCCAAATCATGAAAAATTAGAGGCAAAACCTCTAATTTAATCGAATTATAATTAGCCATCGTATGATCACCTTTCGAAACGTTAATATACCCATAGCTCGATGTTAATCCCCTGATTACCGTATTAATCCAGGGGAATGATAAAATAACTAGCCACAGAATGGCTATCTGAGAAATCAACCTCAAAACCCACAAATGGTTCAATTTAATAACAACCAAATGTGTATCATTATAAAATCCCAAGGCATCCATGTATGTGCCTTTCATTTTGTCCTTTTTGGTGTGAAAACCTTGCAACAAACTCATTATCGACTTTTTGTCTTGTCAATTGTCAGATGTGAATCTGAATTAGTCTGATCAGTAAGCAAAAGAAGAGTACGTAACTGTGGTGTAGAGTTTTCGAAAAAGAGAGCATGGAAATTAATTTCAATCTAACGAACAAAAAAAGGGAAGTGGGGGTTCAAAAAACGTAATTTTAACGAGTGCAAAATCTAGAGGCGGTGTGGTTTCCACCCACGAGGGCAACACGATTACTGTGCAATCTTGACCATAACCACATTAAGTCATGTAGCCTTTGAACCTCCATTTCCTAAAACTATATAATAATAAAAAAACTCCTTCCTTTTTAATTTTTTTCAGATCAACATGACTAAATTATTTTTATTAATTTACTTCATGATGATCTACTAATATTTTGGCAATTGATCTGAATGAATATAAGGAAGGAGGAAATTAATATAAGAGGAAAAGACTAGACAGTTTTATTCTTTTTTTTGTTTGAGTTTTTTTTTGGTTATTTTATGATCTCTAAATGTTGGTGTTGTTCTTCCTTTTAAAAGGCTATATAGAATTGAAATTTCTTGTTTGAAAAAATGGTTGGTAATGCAGAAATTTCTAACACAAAGAATGGTGAAAAATTGTTTACTATTGTTGAACAATTTGATTTGAGGGAATGAAAGGTTAGTATTAACTATTTTATTCTAACCATTAGACAAGAATTTGTTATACGCGGGTACATATACTAGTTGGTAGTTAAAGTAAAAGTGCATTGCAATATAATTTACATATACTCGATGTTTATATCAATTCAATAGATGCATGACATGTGTTTATACGTAGATTTTTAGTATTTAATATGTACTGGTTAATTCACATACATTCGATTTCTTTTCATTAACTCATATAACTATTATAAATTTATATGTTTTGACGTAAACATTCTTTATATAAATTTGTATTTACTAATTGTGTATCAATTGGTTTGTTTTGTATGCGACTTTTGTGTATCTAAAATTTCAGAGGGATGGGAGCATATTATGTTCTCTACTTTCATGTTTCAATTACTTTTGCTAATACTTTGGCTTACATGGACATTACATTAAACTTTCGAGTAATTTTATTTATACACTCGAATTATGACTTGTTTCAATTGAGCATTTAATCACATTAAGTATTCTTGTTAGATACTTTTGGTTTGAATCTTGAGTTTTTTTTTACGTGCATTCTCGTAAAATATGTCATATGCTTTAATTATACCTTAGATTTCTGTTCCAAAGTTCAATTGTTGTGGTTCCAACTTCATACCATTAAATAAGAATAAAGAAAAAAGAGAATAAGAAAGAAGCAACAATAATATTGGTCAATTTAATGCAGTTTTTTTATTATGATTTGATGACTAATCCTTTAGTTTAACTCCACAGTTCAAACATCAGGATTTTTAATTTGAAATGTGTAGTTCGAACTTCAATTCGTATTCCTGTTAGGATAAGGAGACAAAACTTATACGATTTGAGAAAGCTTACTTAGTTGCAAAATGCAAATCCTCATTGATATATATATTAAGAAGATGATGATATAGAAGTACAGAAGTACACACCGCCTTTTTTGACCGTTGGCCAAGGGTGTTTAGATTGACTTATTTTACGTACCTTTGGGAGTTTTGGGGATTTTGCTTCTTTGTTCTGAACTAGAAAGTATATGGCTGGTTAGTGGGATATTAAAAACGGCATATAGGTAAGGATACATGTCTTCATACACTGTACCCTCCCTAGACCTCGCTTGTGGGACTACACTGGGTATGTTGTTGTATAGTCAAGAATAAATTGATAGCAGCAACAGAGAGTGAAGTAATATTAGGGTTACTTAATTAAACATGTCCTAATAAAAAACTTATCCAACATTTTATACAATTGAATGGCACCAAAATTTTCTTATCTTAGTTTAATCAGCAAACTATCTGATAGCTTTAATCTGCTAAATCAGATGATTAGATTTCTACTTACCACATACCTATACAAAAGGATTGATTTCATTTCCAGACAATCACAATGAAGAACTTCAGCTCAGTAGCGCTTCACAGCCACTCAACATCTCCTCATAGGATAGATGACCTGTATGTATTGGGCACCATGGAATTTCAGCTAGCCAAGATTGGCATCAGCAACCAATTCTCGAGGCACCAATCAAGGTCCTATACGACAAGCATGTTCACCATCTTCCACTCTCAGTCTAACGCGTATCTGAAAGTTGTGTGACATACAACAAACTAGGGAAGTCAAAAAGTGACTAGGCATCATCTAGAGTTTGTCCTTGGAGGGACTACAGCTTGACCTTTCTCTGTATTTGGGAGGCTATCTGATTTTACTTTGTCCAAATTTGGATGGACTTCCTTTTTTGTTCCTTGATCTGGATGCTGAAGTGATTGACCATCATCCAGTCTATTCTTTTCTGATGTTTGACTTCGAGATGCTTGAACCTTTCCGTTGTTTTTGACAGGCTGATCAGACTGGTTTTTGTCTAGGTGTTGGAGTTCACTTGCAATTTGGGTACGACGTTCTTTCAAGAAGTTGAGCCTGTTTGTCAGCTTTGATAATGCTGATGTTGTAGTATTAGCTCCCTGTCAATCAAAGATGTCTATTACATTTCGTAGACCCTAAAGATATATATAGGATCTTATAAGCTCTTTTTTTTTTAAAAAAGAAGGCAAAAGAATATAGGATTGAACAGCCTCGATACAATTGGTATACATGATTTATGCCAGATACTGATGTTATGTGCTAAAAGATCTTTTGTCAAATGCACAATTAGTCGGTGAATCCCTCTAGAAAGAATCCTTTTTAACTCCCTCTCAGCCAAACAAAACATGTTCAATGATCTTAAAGTGTCTGAGCAAGGCAGCATAAACAAGTAGAATGCGTGAGCTGATACGAAGAAGAGAGGAGAAAAGCATAGGCAAGCTTTAGTTCATATTTCTCACCAAAACCATCTTAAACTACGAAAATTTCAATAATTTGCCTCAACTTGAAAGTTGAGACTCAGCTTTTGTTTTTTATGCCCACAGGAAAAAGGAATAGAAGCTTAAACTTCCAGATAAACCATAAAACTTGCCTCATTCCTAGAAGTAGATTTTCTAATACTGGCTGAAGCAGCCCTGCTCATCTCCGCTTCCACAGAAGAGTTGGCGCTTTGTGATGAATCTGCCTGCTTACTAGCTTCATACTTACTAGTTTCCATATCCTTATGTTTATCCTTGCTGCACCAAGATTGAGATGGTGAAGGATAAGAGACAAAACTAGACAAGATTCCAATAGAATAACAATGGCAAAGTGGCTCATTGTATTAGAAGCATCAAAACTCCATGAAACTTCAACTTATCGACTTAAGTCTCCTACACAAGCAGCAGTGTAGAAACAAGAGCATCCTTGAATTTTAACTTAGACAAGAGGGAAACAGCATATCAAAATCATTCATTTTCTTTCCTTATCTTTTCATTGATATGAATAGTGTGGTAGTGATAACAATCTATAACTTGAACTGAAGCAGTATTGTACCATGTACATTTTTTTTTGATGAAGATGTTATATTAGCAGGGCATCAAGTGGATGCCGATAGTTACATAAGAGTGTCCTGGTTAGCTCGTGAGAACAAAAACTCCTTTTCTAAAACTGGGAGCTAACCAGAAAGCAAAAAATGGTTTCTAAACCATAGTGAGGGAGCTGATAAAATCTATAAGGGAAATTATATCATTTACAGGGGATAGATTGCTCCAACAAAATAAGTTAAAAAGACAAAAAGACTTCAAACTACTGCTAGGAGTTGAGATGCCATCAAAACATCTGAGATTCCTTTCCTTCCAAATACACCGAAAAATGCATGCGGGAATCATCTGCCAGGTCTTCTTGATGGAAAGTATTGTACCATGGCCACACAACATAAACAGGAAGAAGCAACACAATAATTACCTTTTTCCCTGATTATTTAGACTTTCCTGTGGTTGATTGCCCGAGTCGGCACGAAGTTTGGAATTTTGTTCGCGTTGTTTACTAAGATGCAATCCAAGATCATCAGCCCTCTGTTTCAGATTGTTGACATCTGCCTCTGCCTGAGCAATCTCCTGAAGTTCATTCTTCATCTATACCATAAAGAAAATTATAGTTCTAGCATAAGCAAGCCACACCATAAATAGGCAAAGTTGAAAGAAAACTGACCATCCCATCTATACTGGAAGAGGCAGGTAATTTGCCTTCAAGTCCAGCTTCCAGAAGTATCCTTAATTCCCTCTCCCTCTGTAGTTGTTCCTGAAGCCTTGTTACCTGGTCACGCCAACAATTTCATTGCATTCATTTATAAAATTGGAGATGGGAATAATTAAGCTTCTATGTTCTAAGGACAGTTGGAATATATAAAGAAAAAGAACAAACAAGTCTATATCAACCGCTGAGTTTTACATGTTTGGTTTATGATTCCAGTCAACAAGCAAGCGAAGTACTTTTGTGGATCTACTCCACAGTGCATCGTGTGGAGATGTTTTGAGGACAAACAACCACTCTTTACTGTAATAGGTGTTTTTGAATTATTGAATTAACTGTTAGCCCACACCCTTGTGAGTTTTTCAATAATCCATACTTGTAGCAAGGAAATATTGTAACTCCTCCACCAAGTGAGTAAACAATTTACTATAAATATTAAGGATATATTTTTTCCTTGAAGGGTTTAGCAATGGCACCAGCAAATAAGAGAACACATACTGTAGTCCAGCATAACCGTAAACTAAAAAAAGTTAAGAAGCAAAGAGAAAATCAGCTCAAATGCGCGGAAGTTCAAGAAACTTTAAGAAGGAATGAGAAGTAAAAAGTTCAATGCGCACCCAATGAAAAACAACAAGAGGAAAAGAAAGGAGTAAACCACATACATCTTTTTCAAGTGTCAGACGACGCACATGCAAAGCATCTTTTCGCTTCTCCAAACTTTCTTGCAAAAGGGCATTACCTTTGGCCTATAATGAAGAGATACGTGCAGCACAAA